TGTTTACTTGCTGTTAAATTTTACTGTCTTTGTTTACTAAAAAGATATTGGGCTGCTTTCTGTAACTATCTTCTAATTTGACACTACTCTTACTTACTTGACTTTGTATATATGTAGATATGTTCCTGTACCTCATATACCATTGTATGGTCTGAGTGTAAATAAACAAACGTTAAATATGACATAAGTATATTCAAAGAATGTGGAAATTCTGCCATCTGTTGTAGAAAGAATGATTTGTATATTCACTTTTTTGTTATTAGCTTAAATTATTGTGAAATTGAATGCCCTATGTACTGATGTGACTAAATATGCAGTGAAAGAAATGAATATATAAAATTGTAAAATTGCATTTGAAAACGTAAAATAGTGATTTGCCTCTATAATGTTAAATTGTGATTTTTAAATATTAATTTGTGATTTGTTAATGTTAAATCAATTAATGATATAAAATGTTAAATTGTGATTATTTTAATGCAATTGTGAATTGTTGATGTGAAATTGTGAATTGAAGTGTGAAATTTTGAATTGGAAATGTGAAATTATTTTAATCTCATTGGCGAGTTTTGTGCAAAAAAATCAAAGACATAAAAAAAGAAAAAAAAAAGAAAAAAAAAAAAATGAATAAAAAACAAAAATGAAAAAAAAAGATGAAAAAAAGAAAAATAAAAAGCAGAAAAAAAAGAAAGAAAGGAAGAATAAAGAAAAAAGAAAAAAGAAAAAAAAACAGAAAAGAAAAAAGTGAGAGAGAAAGAAAAAAAACTGAAAAAAGCACAAAACTTTTAATGCTGCCTGCTTGAATTAACATGTTATTTCAAGCAGAAGGTTCCAAGCCCTTTAAAGCAGAGGAGAAGTTTTGGTGTTTAAATGTACATTACTGAATGTACTTTGAAGCTTTGCAGTGCTTATTTAATGAACACTCAACTGATCAAACTTTTTTAAAAATCATTGTAAAATATCAGTTCATCCGGTTTGTACAATGCAACATTTATCTCATCAAATAATTTCTAGCAATTGTAATGTTATCTTCAATAATCTTGCAGTGTTTTGCTGAAATGAATGCAAAATTATTCTTTTCATGTGCAACTTAATTTTTGCTTTCTTGGAATGAATATTAACACCTTTGAGTTGATGCCAACAAGTTTTAAAAAAAACTTTTATTCTCATATTCAAACTGGTTTTAGTTGTTATTTTCCACAGTAATTTTAACAAGAGGCCCAGGGGCCACAGCACTCACTTGAGCACATCAACTTGGAAAAAGCACATATCAAATCAGAACTGAGTTTACTGAGGAGAAAGGGTTGGGGGGTGGGGGGGGGGGGCTTGAACTACCATTATGATTCCATGTAAATATACTAATCATGGATTTGAAGTACTTGAAAAGAAGATTTTAAAAGGTTTCCGTATATATTCCTATGTATAACTTTGGTCGGCAATTTTAGCCCCACCCTACCCCCGGGGGTCATAATTTGAACAAATTTGAATCTACACTACCTAAGGATAATTCCACATGAGTTTCATCTTTCCTGGCCCAGTGGTTCTTGAGAACAAGATTTGAAAAGATTTTTCCTATATTTACGTATATAAAACTTTAATCGGCCATTTTGGTCCCACCCTACAGCTACCCCTGGGGGTCATGATTTGAACAAACTTGAATCTACACTGAAGATGCTGCCATATAAATACATGTATGATCATTCATGGCTTTGTTATTTTTGAGAAGAAGATTTTTAATGACTTTATCTATACATTTCTATGTAAAACTTTGGTCGGCCATTTTGGCCCCGCCCTACCCCTGGGGGTCATGATTTGAACAAACTTGAATCTACACTACCTGAGGATGATTTCACATAAGTTTCATCTTTCATGGCCCAGTGGTTCTTGAGAAGAAGATTTTTTTTTTAATGCCATTAATTTTTCACTAATTCATAATTATCTCCCCTTTGAAGAAGGCTTGGCCCTTCATTTGAACAAACTTGAATCCCATTCACTCGAGAATACTTTGTGGCAAGTTTGGTTGAAATTGGCCCAGTGGTTCTTGAGAAGAAGATGAAAATAAGAAAAGTTTACGAAAACGATGACAGACGACGGTCAAATTTTGATCAGAATAGCTCACTTGAGCCTTCGGCTCAGGTGAGCCAAAAAGGGGACATAGATTTGGAGTTCATATTTTCTGTACATTTCAAATACATGTTTCATAACTTACATGTTACTATAGCATTTCCCATAAAATATCATTTTAGAATTTGTTCACACATAGGGCATGCTCTTTCGTATCGAATCAACTGTATATTAACTTGGTATACAGCTGACGTAGGTACCAATATGTTCCTGCATTAAGGAAGTTGGCGATTGTAAAGTTAAAATCACCACGATTATCATACAGCTTGGTTGTAGATTACCATTAAGGTCTTCTTCAAGCAAAATATCCAAATATGAAACAGATGTGTCTGACTTATAATGTGGTATCTTTTATCTCAAGCTCACCAGAATACAGCAAAACTCATTTAGTACGAACATGGATATTGCAAACTTACAGATATAGCGAATTTATCTTGGATCCCCAGCTACATAAATTTAGAGAATTTCTTATACGGATATAAAGAATTATGGATATAGCAAAGTAATTTCACAGGTCCTAGTGACTTCGTTATAACCCGAGTATTACTGTATATCGTATCAATTGAAAATAAAAATTTAAATTACAATTGTTAATTGACAATACGTCGTCGATATATCTAAATGTAGAGTTGAAGGCCACAGCAAGTGTTTCCTTCTTTCTTCTATAAGATTTTGGACAAATTCTGTTTCATATGAATACAAAAACAGGTCTGCTTATAACGGGAAGCAACTGGTACACATGGGAATTCCAATAGATTCTTGGAAGACATCTCCAAAAACCACATAGATATTATTACTTACTTATGCCTGCTACCCCTTTTGGGGCATAGGCCGCTGACAAGATTCCTTGGTAAAACCTTGTTATTTCAAACTATCAAAAAGTTCCTTTGACATCTGATTTATACCACTTCTTGAACAATATTGTTGCACAGTCCTCTTGAAGTTTCTCCTTCACTACTGTTACTATCTTTAGTGAGGGGTGAAGCAAGAGGCTTGGTTGAGCATTTATTGGAACCTGCTATGTTTCTTATTTTTTGGTAGGGATTTTTGTGAAGTTTCGGAATCAAATATAAATATGGTAGTTCAAATTCATTTTGGTTCTTAGGGATATATTAGTAAAAATGTTGCATTCTGTAAAGGAGTATAACTAAAGAGTTATTGACAGGAGTCTCAAGAAACAGTTGACCTTGAGTAACAGCTTGCACTCCAGTTCAACAGATTGGCCGTTTCCCTTTACCCCAGTCACCAACTGTATACCAATTCCTCTTAACCACATGATCTCACATCTGCAATTTCAGGCCGAGGCAGTCCATGTTTTATGCCCTTTTCACATATTATTTGTATCGTTTATAGTTTCGTTGATATTTTTAGATCAATCACTGATTGTTGTCCTATAAATTGATACTGCATTTAAAAAACTGTTTAGCACTGATTTTTGTTTCATACTACAGTGTACGTCATATAAATACCTTAGACAAAATAACAAGTGACAAGAATAAGGTTTTGTCATACTTTTTATTATATAAAAGCATGTTATTTATAACTTGTGCTAAAATCAAATATCCAAATGTAATCAAAACATCATAAACTTCAATTTACATAAAATTCAGCATTTCTCATAAAAAGACCTTGACAGGTATCACAAATCATTGCCGTACAGTGTATTTGACACATTTATAACAAGTTTCTTTTTATCAAACAATGAAATTGAACTAAAAGGTTAAACATTATTTCCTTGCAGTTATATGTTTTGGAAACTACCATAAGACTTGCTTGAAACCTGAGGTCATCCGAAATGTGTCGAAATAGATAAGAGAAATAAATACTGTGCATTAAAAGAAAGATTTACATTTACAACAGCAAACTTCACCTATTGTTACTGATTGACAATACTAATAAAGTATTTATATACATGTATATATGTACCTCAACAACATTTAAAAATCAGTTTCATGTATTAAAATATCATTTTTTTTAAGAACAGGGATCACATACAGTCAAATCTAATGACCTCAATCAAGAAAGGAACCAAGAAATTTTTTTTAAAGATAACTGATGACTCTAGATACCAGGGGTGAATACTTACAGAATAAGTATGGTCCATGGTATTCAAGATATCACTATTTGAAATACCAAAGTTCAACTGTATTGGTAAAATATACACAGCTAGGGGCCCTTGCACAGATTGATTATCTCTCTTCTTTTGATAATCCTCAGGTTTCCACTGATCAAAAAACTTTTACAAAATATGTTATTTTTTTTTTAATATACAGTCAAGTCTATATGTTCTGAGGGCTATGCATGTGCTTATTTTTTCGCGAATTAAAAGCAGACACAATATGCGTCAGATTTAAAAATCTTTGATAGTCTAGGAAAATATATTGTGCTAAAAAAAATATATGTAAAAAGCTTGACTGAAGGTAGATTATTTCTTGAAATTCAACATAAATCATCCTATGCAAATTTTTCAATGTCCAAAGCATTTCAGGAAAATTCTTTTTTCCATGATTATGTCAAACATCGACAAAAATATGTTGTTGTTTTGTTTTGTTTTTTGTTTACATACCAAAAAAGCTTCAAGCATTACTTTTAGGTGCAAAACTGTTATTTTAACATTTGGCCAGAATAAAGTTGAGCTGATTTGCAGCAAGTGTAAACCAACTCTCTCTTGCAATTTTCATGAATTTGAAAATGAAACATTTGAAACAACCTTAGACATCCTGGTTTTCTTTTACATATTTTGTGTGTGTGTGTGGGGGGGGGGGGGGCTCAATGTTATAGCTTATAAATTAATACATAAAATATTTTGGCTTTCATTCAAAACTTGTGAAGGTAAGTTGCACAGGAAGATGGTTTACAGCATATATGTATAAAAAATGACTCAGTAAAAGTAAAAACGTCTTAAAAAGTCAACAGTGTTTTGTCTACCTACTAACAATAATGTATTTTATACATTTATTTCCTTGAGTGGACCATAGCTCTTTCTTCTCTCATTAAACAAAAGTGATCTCCGCTTTGGATTCTTCCCATTGAAGGTTTTCTTTAAAAAAAAAAAAATAACAGGAATTATTATATTTCATTGCAATTAAGAAACTCTAAACAGAAAATTAAGTCCCAAAGTCTCAGTTATTACAAAATTATATTTGTACTGCTTTCGATGGAACTCTTTAGTCTCTCTGCAGATATTCAAATTTTAAAACTTGAGTCTTAATATATAGATTAACATCAATGAACATATAAAATTGCATTTGTACTATTTTAAATGAAACTTCCAGTACTATCCTTTTTACAATTTTGTCCAAGTTTGATCTTTTTCCTCAGGATTTTACTAATCTACCTATTAAAAAAAAAAAACTCACTGGCACATGTGGACTGTTCTCGTCAGCGGAGCTGAAATCATGATTTTCATTCTCTCGATCAATTTCTGGGCTCTGGAAATGTTGATTAGCAAACTTTTTCTGTAGGGCCAGGGCAATCATTGAGGCTGGGTCAGCCGTAGGTTGGGAGGAAACCTTTGGCTTTAGTGGCGTCCCTCCTGGTGACCTTTTAAGTTAATGACAAAAACTCAGATTACTTACTGCACATCTACAAACAACTCCCACTTGAATTTTTGCATGTTTTATTATCTTTCTTCCAGTGGGTCAACAAAAGCTTCAGACATCTACTTGTCAAGAACTCTTTAATTTACAAAATCATAATAAAGTTTTAGCCAAGTTTCCTAAAAAAATTTGTTCATATCAATCAGATTTCCAAACCTTATACCATATTTGTTTTTCATTAATTTTTGATCAAGTCAACTTTGTAGAGTTGTGTTTTCAAAATTAAAAAAATGCAGTTCATTTTTTGGAAAAAGCGAGGGGTTGAAGTTTTTAGGGAATGGGAATGGGGTTCATATTCGGCCCTTCAAGGGTAGTGAAAACTGGAACTGGAAACTGGTGGAAATTGAGCAGTTCCACACAGGATGATTAACAAAATCAGAAAGCAATAAATGTCCCTCTGATTTTTAATATACAAAATGCTGCCCCTCACCTCTGGATTGACCTCAGTTTAACTGAGCTGAGTCCCTTCAACACTTCAGACATAGTGGGAACTTTATTTGTGGGAGCAGGGACAACATCAGGTGTGTTTCTATTTCCAACTCGACCTTCTTCTAATTTTTCCAACTTCTAAGAAAATGAAAATAAAAAAGAATTGATGAGATAGTAAGCTTTTAGTGAAAAATACATGGTCTATGGTCTTTCAGATGTTTAGTAATAGGATATATATACATAAATTTTATATTTACCGTTCTCAACATCTCGTCTGTAGCAGGCTCCCTCTTTACAGGTGTAGAGGTGTTCTGTACAGGTAAGGGGGGAGGTGGGGGAGGGGCAGGGGGGACACCTGAGATCTGTGGTGGGGTATGAACCATGGAGTTCATATTCGAAGGAGGTAATACTGCAATGGAGGAAAACAAACTATGTTTTAGTCATTAACACAAAGTGGCATTAATTGTAAATTTGCATAATTAAATAAATAAATCTAATATTCTCTTATGTGTAATATTTTGTACATACTGCATAAACTTGACAACTGAATGGTGAAACTTACACTGAGACTTGTTAATCTGTTCCTGGTTTACGACTAACATAGCTATCTGTTGTCTGAGCGTGGACAGCTCGTCCTGTAAAGCGTTAATTTTACTGATGGCGTTGGGGTCAGAGGTCATGGACACAGAGGAGATCATGGTGGAGTTCATCAGAGGGACGTCGTCTGGTCGTACCGTGAACAAGTCTTCTGCTTCTTCCTCCCCCTCCCCCTCCTCCTCTCCATACACACTCTCCAGTTCTGTGTCACTGGAGCCCTCCTCTCTCTTAGCCCTGTTTTCATAGCAACCAATAAGCATTTACTTATTTAAATATTCATGAGAAATGAAATATATACAACATTCTATACACGTTCTAAGGACACACAAATAGGACCCATGATGAAAGAAAAAGAGTTGTCATTAGAGAGGAAGTTCTGTCTAATGTTAGACCATGCCTCAGGACATGAAACAGATTTAGACTTAAGAATTAAGTTCCAATATATATACTAAAGTGAATAAAAACAGACCTAAATCTGATTAAGTTGTTGCCTAGGTCCTCTTCCACCCACTGTGGATCCTCCCCTGATGTTGCATTTGTACACACTGACAGGAGGGAGGAGTCACTGCTCCAGCTGTCCAATCGCTGTCTTCTGGGGCGGAGCAAATGTTGCTATAAATACAAGAAACAGAATCAATAACTTCTTTATAAAAATGCTTCATTCTGACACATTAATGACAAAATATTTTTATCAATTTGAAATTATTTCTTATTAAAATCAGTGTTGTGTAGAAGACATTATGTTTATTTGCACAAGAAAATAACACTTTCTCATATTACGGCTCCATTGATCATGTTGATTTCCTTAAATGCAAAAACTGTACTTTAACTACTAGTATTCTGTCACCTTTTTTTTCTTACCTGTATTCTAAGTCTCTTTGGCGGCTTTGATGGGATAATGGTTCCTAGTATCCTCACCAGACTTCTGTGTCGAATGTTTGACCGCCATCTGATCCAGTTATAGATCAATCGGTGTCTCCTCTGGGTCACGCTAACATCCCATCTACGGCTTAGGGAGCTCCTCAAATCTCTCTGAGCATCTCTGCCTCGTACATATAAGAACTGTGCATAATTGGCCTTTGAAAAAAAATTTAAGAATTAAAAACTATTAGAACATATTTTTTATTAAATTCATATCAGCCACTGTATGAAAAACAAAATACAAGCACAAAATTTGTCTTAAAAAATAAAGTTAAACTCAAGAAAGAAAAGTATCTGATATTAATTTAGTCTGTCCAAAAACTTCCAAATATCTGAATGTTTGTTATCAAAGTTAAACTCAAAGAAATAAATGTTGGAAGCAACAATCCACTTCTAATCTTCTAGATTATATTATATTAAATTTTATGTCCATGATACCATTCAATGGTGTGTCCTTTATATTGACGTTTAAAAAAAACATATACAATGTACCGGTACTACTAGCATACCAAATCATCTGCATCAACTCCAACATAATCCAGTACAATTCTAAGTATTGTCACAGCATCTTCAAATACATCCATCTCAGGACAGATTTTCTGAAATAGGAAAATTATTCAATAATACTTCTCAAACATGCCATATCTATGAACATACCTAACATACTTTTTAATAAGGTGCATCAAGATCTCAGATTGAGATGCCAAAAATCACAGGCACCTGAATTTTTATCAATCAGACTCTCAATAAGCCAAAAATTATGACTAAGTTTTTACTGATTTTGACTTTATTTCTAGTTTATATTGATAAAGCTGTCGACTCCTGTGGTCTGATTGATAAAAATTCAGGTGCCTTATATTAAATGCAAAAATATGTATCTGTACATTGTATTACTCTCAGTACCAAGGCTCCTCATGGTACTCAAATTTCTGCTCCTATTTTAACCATACAATTGTCCTTTCTTCAACATTATAAATAAATCTTTTTATAACACAATTTTACTTCATGACTGAGGATAGAGTCTGAGAGAAAGAGTAAACGGAAAATAAGAGAAAGAGAAGAGAGAACTTAAATTCGGCATACCTACAAAAAAAGAAAAAGCTATATATCTAATGTTTAATTCGTTGTTTTAGTCCCAGATAATTCGTTAAAGCCCTACAGCAAAATGACACCCTTATAACCCCCCCCCCCCCCCCTCTGATACCATATTCAATTTCAAAAACAATCCTTATTATTTAAATAGAATTTATCTAAAAAAAAAAAACAAGTGTTTTGTTTGAAATAAAGTTCAACACATTAAAGAATTAATTCAAAAGTAATTTACCGTCGATCTTCTCTCTCTCTTATTTTGTAAACACCATGCCCGATGCCGCACTCAATTTAAAAGTTGCTTCCGGTGTCAGACTTAACCAATGGGATTACGGTATTTTACTGATTGACCAATCATCAGCGTCCTGATTAGTTTTGTGTACGACTTTGAAAGCTATTTTGTCTCGGTGAGTAAATGTGTGATTTTCAACGAATTGATCTTTTGATCTTTTAACTGATCAAGCTAAACATGAAAATCTTTCAATAATGCAATTTCTCGCAACGGTAGCTTTTCCATGTTTCGTATTGTTCATCATTTCTAACTATCGTGAAAGGGGGGGGGGTCTAAAATAAAAACACAACCTCAGTGCTTAGTGCCTGATTATACCACATGGTATCTTGTTATAATTATGAAACAATTATGTACAGGTGCACTATGATGTAACTGATTTTAAGACTGGTCTTTCTGATCGCAATGAATAATCAATCATGACACCATGCACCAATGCCCCCCCCCCCCCCCCCCTTACACACACACACACTCTAGGCAAAGTCTGGATAAAATGTAGTTTTCTGAACCTATTGCTCAAGTACGTTTATTTGTCTATGGCTTTGTGATTATTATTTTCTCTCCAGATTTGACACAGTAGCAGGATGGCATCTGCAGACACGGTTCTTGCAATGAAAGGGATGGCTGCTGATCCTTTGAAGAGAAAACTTCTCTTGAAGGTAAAGATCTCCAGTACACTTCCTTCTGACTACAGAAAATTGAGCTGCAGTTGTGTTTTCAATTTTACTGTCAGTGTCTTACACAGTGTCAGTGAGTCACACACTATGATGCATTCTAAAATGAAAAGAATGTATTGTTCAACCAGGGACCTATATGGGTCATTCTCAAAAAATGTCCAGATTTCTGTGAAACACGTTTTCTGGTAAATTTTTTAATAAAATAACTTTTTTGTGCTCATGAACTTAACAATGATTTTTTAATAAAATAAAAACTTTTTTGTGCTCATGAACTTAACAATGATCTAAAATTGGGAGGACAAATATAAGTAGGATTAAAAATTGATATAAACACTGAAAAAAAATCCTTCAACATGAGTTAAATTAAAGAAAATTGCTTGTGATTTCGCCGAGGGTGTATTTTCAACCCTCCTTATTGAGACAGTAAATATAATTTGGGAGTATAAAATACCTTTAATGTATTGTAAATACTTAACATTGTTTAAAAACATGCTAAAACGTGACTGAAAAAAGTAAGAATATAATTTTTTAAACAATAAACGTTAAAAAAACTTTGTGATTTTCGCCGTGTCCTTGGAGTAACCAAGACATAAAAGTTATCTGTAACAGTTATTTTTCCTGAAGGAACTCTTCAGCATCAGCGGCCTTCTAAACATCTTGTACCCGCCAAAATATAAAAAGACACAAAACACATGTGTTTCACCCCGTAGACACAATATTTGGTTTCAGTTGAGTTTGATTGAAAGAGTAATTTATTTTTAAGCCCTTGGAGTTACTTAAATAATGTGAAGATAAATTAATATATAATGTTTGTGATGCATTGAGCGACTTTGTAGGGAAATACACATGATGTAGGAGCTGTGCTCTATCTTTTTAAGTTAGCCATAGCTTTTATACTTGTAACTTTTGATGTAGTAATTCCCTAGCGTTACTGTCCATTTTGTTACTGTAGGAAAAGTTACTCCAAGGACGTTTTTAATTACTCTATGGACAATCTATACAGAATTTTATTAAGAAGAATGCAATTTCGATTCATCTGTTTTATCTCCCTCCTCAAAAATAATATATCAATAATATTTGTATCATCTGATTATAGGTTTTACATATAACGTTTCATACATGCTACAAATTAATTCAATAATCGATACAAGTAACACAAAGGACAAATTTGGTAACTCCATGGACGTCAAAATGATGAAACATTTACATTATAAATATACTGTTGTATTTACACCTGTTTCAGCAGTAGAGTAGAGAGTCTTTATTTATTTTGAGTAAATTGAAATATCAAAATTTCTTATGAAATACATCTTTACGCCCTTTTAACCTTGTAATACTTAGCTGTGGTAACATAATAGACAATTCAGTTACTCAAGGGACACAACAAGCATTTAAGATAGAAAAATGAAATAAAAATAACACATATGAAGTCGTAATTGTGTTCAATGTATAAAACAAAATAATTGTGGAGAGATGGTTCGATTTAAGTTACAATAAAAATAATGAAGGCCTTAAAAATGAGATGATTAAAGTGGTAACTCCAGGGAAGGTTAGGAACACAAGGGAATGTGAAATAAGAAACCACGATTTTATCACAGATGATATTTTTTTTACTCTGAACCTGTTGATTCTATGTCATGTTCTCTCGATAAAAATACATGTATTGAAAGGACGAAACATTTTAAAAGTTGCAAAAAAGAGGGCCAGACAAGTGAAATCTAGATTCAAGGAACATTCAATGTAACGTCAGATAGAGAACATTTGACTATTCTTGGAATGTGTATGTCCAACAATGAAATAGTTACGGATTTTTCATCACTATATCAAAAGCTATATCAAAAGATTATCTTTCCGAGGAACAATGCATTAGTCACCAATCATGAATTTATGTTTGAATGTAGATGAAGATACTCTTCATGCAGATTTGTCCGATTGATTTTCCCCGTAAAGGTTTAAAGTTGTTTGTAAACCTTGCACTATAGAAGTATATTAAAGCTTTTGGAAATGAAGTAAGATTGGACATTACAGTAGAGGCAGTACTTTATATGGATCTCTAGCTTTTGAACCCAGCATATCTTGAAATTTATGTCAAACAACAAATACTAGTAGGCATTGGGCAAAGGTATTTTTTTATTCTGGTGAGTATACATACAGCTGATCAACACATATAACATAAAATCAAATAAAAGTAATTTATGAATAGAAAAGGCAGACAGTCGGGGTTTTAGCAGACAAAAGAGTTCATATTAAGAGAAACCAGAGTTCCAGAATGGAGAAAAATTCGAATAAAAATACTGAAAAAGCTGAGACCCTGGAAAAAGAAACCAGATAAAAATGCTGTAACACAGAGACATCTGAACTTCAGAATACATACATGTGTGATCAAATCAGTAATGAAAATTAAAAAAGCTAAATACGACCAAGAACTTTAAAAGATGAATATTAGTACAACATAGGTGATGTTTTCGTTATACTTCGTCCTCCACATCTTGTAGGTAGGAAGTATCAAATAGATAACCCAGTGTGGAAGGAGGCTGTATGTAAAAACAACAAACAAAATGAGATGTCCTTTGTGTTATCTTTTGTCTTTGGTGTTACAACTTCTTTTTGGATATACAAATACTTGTACATGTACCGATCAGTGATTCTAGGTCCAATGATAGTAATCCTTCATTATTCATGCATAACTTATTTTTATGTTTTGTTGATGTTCGCGTATCTTTATAATTAGACAATTATGTCCATGTTGTTACTTTTAATCATTGGTGTTACTTGTCAGACTCCAAATGTAAAAAGAAATGAAATCCCAAGAAATATTTTTCTTAAAACCATATACTTTCATTAACATCTATAAGATAATGCCATTGTTGTGCTTTTTGCGGGGGAAGAGGCACAAATTTATTATTTCTTCTTAAGGTAGGATTCTTCTCTGGTTTCTGACTACATGAAACATTCAAAGTATATTTGCTTATATGTCTTATATATTAAGGTGTGAGGAATTTAAAAGACCATATTTTTCTTTCCTCATCACAATTGTACAACTTTAAATAGAAACGGTAAACTGCGTCTGAAAACTAGCAGGGAACATATTTTTGGCGGAATGGTGGCGTATGAAAATATCTACTTTTCTGCCTCTCAAAATTATAATAGAACAATGAATTTAGTTATAATTTTTACACAATCGAAGACTTGGAGAAATTTTCAAATGTAAGTTAGATTAATAATGAGAGACTAAACTTTCAAAATATATCAAATTAATATGATTTTTCCAACAAACTAGAACTTTATTAGCTTTTAAACGCTTCCTATCAAAGTGCGGATTTGAGCCAAAAATCCATAAAAAGTATTTTTTCTCTCTTAGTAAACGATCAAAACTTTTTGTTTTTGTATCATTTTGTACATTTATAAGACTACTTTACTATATGTGAAAATAAGAAAAAGTTAAATATAGGAAGCATATGAAAATAACTAATATATCCTAAAAAATTAAGAAAAACAGAGAAAATTCGGATTAGCAAATATCCAGTTAAGATAAATTATTTATGTAAATTTGGTAATATCATGCTATAGACCCGATATAGTAATATGTTTTTATGCAAAAAGAACAATTATTAAACTTTTGAAATAGAAGTAGGTATCATATGATTGGCAACGGTTATTTTTTATTCTTAATGTCAAGGAAAAAGATAATGACCTTGACCTGACCTTGCCTCTGATATAAAACGGTCAAATTTAATTTCACTGATACTATCACTTACTGATATTGTCTTCTTGATTCTGTGAAAATTAATTTTTAAATATTAGAAATATGAGAAGAATCCTACCTTAAGGTTTGAACAAAATGTCTTTTGTGTTACTTTTATGTCCCTTGTGTTATGAAAATATCCTTGGTGTTACTAAGCCATTTTTCCTAAATTTATACTCTAAATATTTCCACAATTTTATCAAAACTTGCTACACAATCCTGTTGCCTTCTAATGCAAAGTATTTTCACAAAGCCAGTGGTTCATGCTGAGGTAAAATGACATACACTTAAGGTATATTTGTTAGAATAATCAAATTTTATAATTTTAACAACTTTCAGCTTTATGTCATCTGAAATTTCTCTCTTAAGAACCCTTAATGTGTTTTGATAGAATATTTTTTATTAGTATGTTGAGATTATGATTCTAGAAACCTTAAATTTTTGTAAATTATTATTTTATTGTGACTTCTAAGTAAGTATTACCATGGACATTTTTTGTTGAATGCATGTACGTATAATAGATTTTATAGTAAATGCTGATAGAATTCTTAGTGTTTCAACATTATTTATGCATCACTGATGCTTCATTACTAACATTAAACT